ACGACGAGCCAATACAGTGGACACTTGAGGTGTGGGGAGGAAGACAGACTGACGGTTTTCATGTTGGATGCAGTTTTGGTTATATCAATACTACCTAGCTCTGTCAGGTTAAAAAAAAATTGTTCTGTTTGTTGTTGTTTTTTCTTTTATATTTTATACCTCCTGGGGTCGAAACTGTGTATGGTGCAGCAAATGCAGTTCTTGCTGGTAATGGAGATTGAATTGTATTACAGAACAGCAGACACTTGAAGTAGCATTCAGTCAGGCTATATTTTTTTTTATATTTCCAATAGACTAAAAAGGTATGCATGTTTTGTTAATGTCACTTTTTTATGAGGCTTTACTGGATGCACCTTTAAAAACTTGTGTCCAGACTTTAGTAGGTCATGTGAACGTGACTGATTCACTTTTATTAATGTTGGAAAAATAAACTCTTTAATTGTATTTTAGCTGTGTGATTTGTGATAAAGGTATAGACCAGAGGTTCTCAACTCTGGTGCTCGAGGTCCATGTTCATGCAGAGTTTAGCACCAACCTTGTTTTAAACTCACTGCCTATAACTCTAGTAATCCTGAAGACCTTGATGAGCTTGTTCAGGTGTGTTTGAGTAGGGTTAGAGCTAAACTCTGCAGGAAAGTGGACCTCGAGGGCCAGAGTTGAGAACCCCTGGTATAGACAAAATGAATACAGTTTATGTGGTTATATTAATCAAAAAGAAATTAGCAATGTTTACATAATCATAGAGAGTAATATACTGTATATTCATAAAACTAAGTAAATGGTAAATCTTGAAAAAAAAAGATGATAAACTCTATTTACTTCAGTAAGATTTAATTAATACTTTGATAAATGCAATGTTCCTGTCTATAAAATAATATAATAAAGTAATAATTATTACTATAAATAAACACAACTTCTAAATTAAATATAATTAAAGGGGTCATATGATGCTGCTAAAAAGAACATTATTTTGTGTATTTGGTGTAATGAAATGTGTTTATGTGGTTTAAGGTTAAAAAAACACATTATTTTCCACATACTGTACATTATTGTTTCTCCTCTATGCCCCGCCTTTCTGAAATGTAGGTCAGAAAGGTCGATTTTTACAAAGCTCATCGGTCTGAAAAAGCGCGGTGTGCTGTGATTGGCCAGCTATCCAGTGCGTTGTGATTGGCCGAATACCTCAAGC